TCATGCAAGCGTAATTACTGCGTAATTCTGATTCGTTTGTTGGGAAACCCAAAAAAAATCAACCTGTAATGCGATACTGCGAATAATTACGTATCTCGGAAATTGCCGTTTTTCGTTGCTTCACATTAATCGAAACTTGTAATTATCATTCGATGATTAATCTCATAACACGGAGCATTAATGAGCATTCGCTCGACATGAGTCAGCAACTTGCTTGCTTTCGAAACATATGTTTGCATGTCACTTAGTGTTGATAACTACAGAGCTGAAAGAACAACAACAGAATTAGGTTCGGAATGAGGGAACTTATACTAGATTAGTTTTAAGAAATTCTTACGCGCATTCATCAGCAGTTATCATGAATCAAGCCAGTGCATGAAAGCAGTCGATGGTTCACGTATTAACACCTCACACTTCATGCACAATTGAAATGTATCGTATCAAAACAATTAGTTGATTTTAATATTTGTTATATTTCAGTCTTCTCATATTCCACTGATGCGGATATCGTTGTATACATTAGCCGTAGCATGTTTTTATTTCCTTTGCTGGACACCGTTCTGGATTGCGACCGTTTTTGCTGTATATTTGGAGTATGCCGGAGAGCAGAGTGGCAGTGTTCCTCCGGTCTTTGTCTATTGTATGTATTTTATACACGCTCTTCCGTTCACCAATTCGGCGGTCAACTGGATTTTATACGGTAAGCTGCTCATAATGCCATTTGCGCATCATTTGCTTGCAGTCACAAACGCTCTCCTCACTCCAACTCAACATTACATGACGAATGTCGACTGAAATTCCTAGTGAACTGCTTTTGTGTGAACATCTCAAAGTATTGCATGACGTTGATGAAGAGCTGAATGTTTATGATATATTTGCTGCTTAAGAGAATATTTGACTTTGATTAAGGTGCACTCAATGGTCAGTTACAACATCGTATCAAGGGACGTCGCTCGGACATAACGACCACCATTTATAATAACGGTAATGTGCATCCGTCAAGCGTCTCCACAACTGCGAAATACGATAGGAATTTAAACACAAAAACGGTGATGTTTTGTTGGGTTGTTTCAAAAATCTTACGATTTGTGGGCGTTCACAATGAAGCGTTGATGTGGTGGTCATTTGTTGTTGTACCGCGAATGTGAGATCAAAATTGTTCGCTTGATGACTGGGAATGATGACGAATCGTATCGCCAGAGGGCGAATGCTCATTCGATGAACATAAGACAAATTGGAGACAATAGTTGATGTTGGAGACGCGCGATTCAAACTGCTTCAGGCTGAGAATTCATTCAAATGAATGATTTATTACTGGCACAGCGATTTGTGTACGATTCAGTTGGGAGGATAACATGATTTATGATTGATTCACTCAATGTCTGATGAGTTTATTGGAACACTGTGTGAGAACATGCTCCTCGTGAATATTTCAGTTGTTTTGCACGGAAGGAAGTGTTTATTGTGTTTTGCAAACACAATTAGGTAACGGGACACGGAAGTGCTCACTGCACTTATTTGATGAGATACTCAAAAAAGAGCAAACATTTATCTTATGATCAATAAAGAGTTTTGATGAAGCGCAAATTCGCGAACTGCAGTTGTTACAAGTCTGATGTTGGATAGATTTTCACATAGCCTCAAGTGAATCGGTGGAATATTTCGTATGAATTCAGTGAAATTGAATCAAAAGAAATTAGTTGCAATAAAGCCAGGCCATTGCTTAGAACAATAAAACGTTTGTGACGGTACGAATGTTCAAGCTTCTGGGATTTGTTTGCTCGCCTATGTTAAATGAGTGCAACAGCTAAACTTTAAAGAGCAGTTTGTCATGGTTATTTTCACGAGAAGCGATGATGGCGAATGCTAAAAGCGATGTTTGCAATCAATATAGTAATCATAAAAATGGTTGTTTTATTAAAGAAGTGAGGCGATTAAAGGCATTGATTCAACTATTCTTAATGAAATGCATTCGTTTATGCTCTCCGCGCTACTATTCTTTCCATGATATTGCTTAAGCATACACAAAAACCCATTATTCACTTCATCCAGTTGAAGGATTTCACGAACATTTACTGTTATCGGTGATAGCAAATCACTGAAGCGTTCAAGTCGATTGAAACAATCACCATCTTAGCCATGCTTTTTGCTTTTGTAGAACATTTCGAATGCCATTCGAGGATGTCGATCAAATTTCCACTTTCGAGCAAACATTGGATATTTCACGGATGAAGCGCTCTCAATTTGGCGTCCTTTTGTGGAAGATTGATGACTGAGTTGATAATTTCGAACCATCGAAACTCTTTTATGTCCTCCGCTT